AATGTACAAAAATTATTTCAGCATCCAAGTGAAGATTAAAGCTAATCAAAACAAAACAGTGTCACCCTGGCCAGGTGGCTCAGTTGGTGGGAGCATCATCCTGTGCACTAAAAGGTTCCCAGTTTGATTCCCGATCAGGGCACATGCCTAAGTTGTAGGTTCAATCCCTGGTTGTGGCATGTATGGGAAACAACCGATCAATGTTTCCCTCTCACTCTCTCTTCTCCTCTCCCTCTAAAAAATAAATAAAAACATATGCTGGGGTCAGGATTTTTTTTAACAAGGACAATGGGATAACCTGTGTAAAGTATTTATAAAATGGCCTGAAATATTGTAAATCTACCTGCCTGAGTCTTCCATTAGGCCCAGGGACCAGGGACTATAATTGGTCCATCTTCAAACCTCCAGAGGTAGCACCCGATGTGCTTATTGAATGAATGAATGACAAGACAGTAGGGAGAAAGACTAGAAAAGCAATCCAAAGGTTTATCATTATGCCTTTGGATTATGGTCTTGAGGAAAGTAGAAGAAAAGCAACTTCAGAGCTTTTAGAGAGAATTGATGAACCAAGATCGTGCTGCATTTCAAAAGCCTAAGGCAGGAGTAAGCTCAAGTGAAGACTAGGTTGCGTAAAGGGCTCAGTTCTTCAAGTCAGAGAAAATGAGAATAGAGAGGCTCTATCTGTAGCCCTCCTCTCCTCTCTCCTCCCAACCTTTCCTGGCAGTAACTGTCATTGGATTAGGGTAAAATGCCTCTTATCTGGGATTGGTGTCCTCTCCCCGGGTATTCATACCATCTCCATCTGATCACCTGCATAGCCGAGTCGCTGTGTATTATAGTTAAGGTTGAACACTATATAACATCACCCTATCTAAGGGGGTGTCATTCAAATAGTAGATATCTTTGCTTCAAACCCTCCTCCCCCTTTTTTTCATTGATTTCAGAGAGGAAGGGAGAGGGAGAGATAGAAATATTAATGATGAGAGAGAATCATTGATCAACTGCCTCCTGCACACCCCACACTGGGGATCAAGCCCCACAACCCAGGCATGGGCCCTGACCTCCTGGTTCATGAGTCGATACTCAACCACTGAGCCATACAGGCCAGGCAACTCATTCTTTTAAAAATCAGTAATAAACACAGGGAACCATGCATTTATGTTGGTGATCCTACTTGTGCACCACATAACCCATAGTACATAAGGAAAGGTTCTCCAAATAGAACTATTTCAGCCAAAAACTGAAGGAAGTTTGAAAGAAATAGAATATAACTATTTTCAACTTCCAATGAATGAGTGGATCTCAGCACTGAATATCAATGGCTGAGACCATCACAAACAAAAAGAGACAAGCAGATATCTTGTCCCCCTGCTGAAAGCATAAACCACCATTCATTAAGCAATGTGGCCAAAATAATTAAGCTTAACTACTAGCTCTAGCTGCAACTGCAATTTACAGGCAACAAAGTGGACAGAGAAAATAAATATTAAACAACATCCCAGGGATGTAATGGGTGAAATGCACAGTGTGAGAAACACATAGGAAAAATAGCATGTACTCTTCAACAAATAATTAAAAGGGAGATGAAGGGGTAAAAACCTATAGAAAAGGAGATACCAAAAATGCATATTAAAAAATTGCAAAATGTAAACCACATTTGAATTCTGACTCAAACAAACAAAAATTATAATGTTGGAGACTTTCACTTCAGGCCAAGATGGAGAAACTGGAGCCACAGTTACCCTTCCATCGAAAACAACTAAAAAAATGGGACAGAAAATATAAAATACTTTTTAAAAATATATTTTTATTGATTTCAGAGAGGAAGGGAAAGGGAGAGAGAGATAGAAACATCAATGGTGAGAGAGAACCATTGATCAGCTGCCTGCTGCAGACCCCACACTGGGGATCAAGCCTGAAACCTGGACATGTGCCCTGATCGGGAATGAAACCATGACCTCCTGGTTCATAGGTCAACTCTCAACCACTAAGCCACACCTGCCGGGCTGAAATATTTTTTGTTAATACATTGGAAATCAAGAATTGAACAATGATCCCTTCCAAACAAGAAACAAACAGAGTGAGCCCTATGATCGCCCCAGTTTACTGCCTCGAGAAAAATCTGTAGGCCTCAAGACAGTTTGGGGAACCGAGGTGCAACAAAGCATTCTCCCCAAGAAGGAAAATAGAACTGGGAGTCTGGAAAGGTCAAAGTTGCACAAGTTCACAGGCAGGATGTCAGAGAAGAGAGCGCGACAGAGGGAGGTCTGCGGAGATCTGCAAAGTGCCCCTGGAGTACATATCCCAATGCCAATCAGTCCACACCTGTAAGGAAACTACGTGAGGCTGAGGGAACCACAGAAAGAGATTACAGGGAACATGGAATCTGCGATCCCGCCCAGAGCCAGGAACCAGCCCTGTTCTCACTGGCCAGGATAGGAACCAGCCTAATTCCCTAGGCATTGTGCAGAACACATGCAAGAGTTCGCCCTCAGAAGTGGGTGAAGTTTGCCCTCGAATAAAATGTTGCTCCCATCCTGCCTATCACCACCTGAAAGGATCAAACTTTTTTAAGTAACTTAACAGTGTCTCAGAAAAAAAAAATCTCAAGAAGTTTTAGAGGAAAACTAAAGTACTCAACACACAGCTAGATAAAATTCAGAAGTTCTGTTCTTCAAACAAAAACTACAGGACATGCCAAGAAGGAAGAAATTACAATCCATAAGAGGGAGCAAATCAATCAGAACTAACTCAGAAATGACATGGATGACAGACTCATAGACAAGGGCATTTAAACATTATTATGTTGTTCTGTATGTTCAAGGACATTCTATTACAGGCATGGAAGGTGGGAAGAAGAAGAAGAAGAAGAAAGAAGAAGAAGAAAGAGGAGGAGGAGGAGGAGGAGGAGGAGGAAGAGTGGAAGGGGAAGGGGAAGGGGAAGGAGAAGGAGAAGGAGAAGGAGAAGAAGGAGAAGGAGAAGGAGAAGGAGAAGGAGAAGGAGAAGGAGAGACCCATGGGCACACATCACACTCTGCAGAATAAAGTGACTCGAATGTATAGCAGCAGAAACCACCCAAAATACAGCGCCAAGAGAAACAAAGGTTGAAAAGACAGCATCGCTGAAATCTGGAACTCAAGGACAGTTTGACCCAACATTACCTGACATCAATACATAAAAGTCTTATATACCAAGAGTGAAAAATGGAAAAGTGAAACAGTACCAAGAGGGCTTATGTTGAACAATGATAGGATTCCAGCATGTTCAATATGAACACAGATCCAGGATCTCCCAAAAAGAACCGGCTGTATCACATACATTGGATCTTGAAGGAAATTTTTTTTAATCTGTCATTGAATCCTGTTTCTAAAGTAAGTAAGAAGCAAATATGTGTTGACGAGTCTAAGATACCAACGATATCAAAACAATTGAGCCCCAAATCAGGAGAAACACGTACCTAAGCTCTCCTAGGCTTCCAGAGATTACCTCTCTGATCGAAAGCCTGCATTTTTATTCAGCCTCTGTGGGTTGTACCCATCCACAGTAAATGTCAACCACTCAGAAGCCAAGGTCTTAACCACTTTTCTAAGGCACCAATAAGTTCGGTGTGCAGCATATAATTTCCTACTAAATTTCCAGGATAGTATAGGAGACCCAAGGAATTAATACATTTGTATAAGATGTTGTGAAGGTAGTGGCTCTTTCTGCCTTCTTTATAATCCAAATTTGTTATACGAAAATGACTAAGAAGGAAGGAAAGGAAAGGGAAAAACCAAAAGGTACAAAACTATTTGCTAACAATATACATATATACCTGGTATACCCAAACTCAAGCCAAACTAAAGAATAGGTCAATTGTAATAAAAAGCATTCCATTTTGGAACTGGAGAGCATTCTGCTAAGTGAAATAAGCCAGTCAGAGAAAGATAAATACCTCATGATTTCACTCATTTGTGGAATATAGAGAACAACATAGACTGATGAACAGGGACAGATCCAAAGACAGAGAAACAGTGATCAGACTATTAATCCCCAGAGGGAAAGTAGGGGAGGGAGGGGGCAAGGGGAAGAGATCAACCAAAGGACTTGTATACATGCATATAAGCCAAACCAATGGACATGGACAGAAGGGGGATGAGAGCATGAGTGGGGGGTGGGGGGGAGGATGGGGGGTTAATGGGGGGATGAGGACACATTTGTAATACCTTAACTAATAAAGAATTTAAAAAAATAAAAATAAAATAAAGCATTCCATTTTGAAGGCTTTTCATTATACATAAACAACGCTTTTAAACACTTCAAATTCATGAAAAATAAATTGTAAGCACTTTAAGTAGTTAATAACACAAAAGTTGACTTACCATAAATCGCTAAAGCTTGTGGGAAATACTCTTTGTATTCTAAATCCTACCCACTAATGCAAGGGTGAGGATGCATCTCAGAGTCAGTGGTGACGATTTTTTAATGAGGGATTTAAGAGAGTTGATTTAATTCCCAAATTTGTTTTTTTTAATTCCACCCCATCACCAAGAAAGTGACTAGAGGGCTCCATTAGAAACCTGGTTACTGCAGATGCTTCATCCAATCGATGCCTCTCTTTTTTCTAAGTTACTCAGAGGAAATCTGACACCGGAGAAGGTCACACCTTCACAGATTACCCCAAATGTTCACTGTGATGCTGAGGCTTTATATACGGAGCCCCTTCTAAGCAATCAGGGCCAGAGAATGAACATTCAAACATTCGCCCCCTCCAGCTGCTGCAGGCAGCAGAAGCACAAAGAGCACCTACTTAGGCGATTACTTTTCAGGGGCATAAGACTGAACTTTAAAAAGGTACCTATCCAGAAACCTACAATGAAAGTGAATAATAAATATTTACATTATGAGCCAAAAAATTCCACCGTCTAAAGAGAAACATTTGATGTTCTTGTCTCTGAATACAGAAACAAAATAATGATTATACTAATTTTAATCAAACTTAAAAGGTACACCTCATTACCTTGTTGATATAAGCTACTCGCCTTTGAACAGGCAAGGGAAAAATCCTGGAGGCATTTTCATATTCTGACTTAACAATTATCTGATAATTACCCCATCATTACCTGCTGGTGAAGGATTCCATTCTAAATTCTTAACATTTCTGATATATTACAGGCATGTTACTTCAGAAGGCCTACCTGGAAAGAGACTGAGAAGGCTGACTGGAGGTTTGTTGGTATCAATCGTTAGTTTGTGGCTTGCAATTTTTGAAGGTTGGCCTGGTAGACAGATTAATTTCAGGGGAAGTCTGAATTTACATTGGGTAACCCGAGGAATGCCTGAAATAAAAAGGGAGAAATGCAGAGTCACGACTGTGTCAAATCATTTGATACATAAAAAATCTGTACTACTAATAGTCTGAGCAGCAACATATCCCAGTTTAAAAGTCTGCAGCCTGCCCATTTTGTCTAGCATAACTGAACTGCACATTATTATCATAATTCACATGTTTATATTATTGTCAAAAAGCAGAAGGCAATATCAGGGATCACTGTAAGTTATATAAATGTCTAATAACTAGGCTGTACACCTGAAATCAATACTGAATGTCAACCATAATTTAAAAACTAAAAAGATAACGAGTACTAGTATTGCAGATTTTTTTAAAGTGAAAGGCAGAAATAAAATCTTAGAAAAGACACAGGCATGAGGTCTGCCTTTAATAGTAATACCATATTTTTAAAATCAAGAAACACTTCAACACTATATATAGAGTTATAGTCAATTACTGAACTATCTTTAAACTAAGGCCTTTAAAGTTCTAGCCCTAATTTAAGACTCTCAGCTAAGATGAGCAATGAATATCAAATTTGCATCAAAAAGACTTTATATGACTATATTTCATAATTTCTCTACCTCCACACACAAATTTTGTAACCTTTAGGCTTTTTTACTTACTAAAAATTCAAATTACAATTAATAATTTGCAATAAATTACAACATGAAAGCAGAATTTGTTCTACTTAAGATCTACTGAAGTTCATGACATTTTATACAGTAATATTAAGAATATTACCTTCATATGATTCAATTTTTCTCAATCCATTTAACTTTACATACCAGTTAAGTGACATTTTTAAAGGCTTCCATAGTCATTCAATTGTCAAATTTTGTTTTTTATGTACACAGGCATATTTAAATAGGTAACTGAACAATACATAACAATGAAGACTTTTACGTCAGGATTAAAAGTTTTTAAAAATCAATTCCTTTCAATATTTTTAAAGAGAACGATACTGAAACCAAAGCAAAGTGGGCTCTCTACTTATAAATCCAGAAAAGCAATTCTACAACTTCCGTTTTCTCTCCTTTTATTCTAGGGTTCTGTTCTTGATGGGGTAATATACAGAAGCCTGTATCTCGGGACCTGCTGTACTTTACTTGATGGGGCCACACATTCATCCCTTTACTGCCTACAGTGGAGTCAGTGAGCAGCTTAGAAATAGTAAAGTAAGAGCAGTTGGAGTTTGGGGACATGATTCCAAATTAGCAACATATTTTGTTTAAGCCAGTTGGGGTTGAGTGGCTTACTCTGCATCCAAGCTGGGACTATACTTTTCAGTATTACTTGTTCAGTGGGATAGCGAGAGATCATCAGCAATGGAAACATGTTGATATACGAGGTCAATTAAAGACTTTTTCAGAGCACGGGGAGCATATTTGTCATTCTCCAACATAATCTATTATCCATCAAATTTTACGTAGCTCGTTTTTTGCTCATAACCAACAGATGTTTAATTCACTTCTGGAATCCTAGATGCAAAGTATAACTGTGGCTCTTCAGAAAGGTCCCAGGGTATTACATATATCCTGACATTCTGTGAGATTTAAAGGCATGTGTATTTGTACTTTGCAATGGCAAAAAAAAAAAAAAAAAAAAATTAAATCCTCACCCGAGGATATTTTTTCATTGCTTTTTAGAAAGAGCAGAAGGGAAGGAGGGAGGAAAGAAAAAAGGAAAGGAGAGAGAGAGAGAGAGAGAGAGAGAGAGAGAGAGAGAGAGAGAGAGACTGTGATGTGAAAGAGACACATGGGTTGGTTGCCTCCCGCGTGCACTCCAACTGGGGCCTAGGATCAAACCTGCAACGCAGGTAACATGCACTTGACCGGGAATTGAACCCGCATCCCTCGGTGTGCAGGCCAAGACTCTAACTACTTAGCACACCAGCCAGGGCAATGGTAAAATGTTTCGACTCAAAATATTATGGTTGCATGATCTAACCTACTGCTCAAAGCATAACTATGAATGTCACCACACACAAAATATTAGGACGCATTAGTTTTTCCAATTTCATATATTCCACATATCTCCAAATTATGGAACTGTATCTACTAATATATTTCCTCTACAATAGATAAATTAAAGCCTCAAAACCTGAAACCTATCTTCATTTCCTTCATTTTTAATGAATAGTGGGGGGAAATGTTTCACCTTCGGATAACTCTTTCTGCACAAAAATAAGCGATCTTCTATGTACTTGGAACCAAAGTCTGAGCTAATTGTTCAAACAAAATCTGGCTGTAAATGTGCTTCTAAAACTATACTGCTAAGACCGTGGCTCTGTTTCACTAGACCGGGTACTGATTGAATTTGTGGTAAAAAATTTAATCATGATTAACACCACTAGCCTTATGCTAATGAGCCTATATCTGAATATTGGTACTAAATCTCTAAGAAGCCAGAGCTAAAGAAACTGGTGGTATATATATGTTTTCAGAAACTGGAACAAATGCTTATAAGCACTAATAAACCCAACAAGGGAAATACATTATAACTCAATTCACAGTCCAGTGAAGTTAGTTAATGACAGTATGTTGGGTCCAAGCCCCTCTGCCAGGGACTGGACCTCCTTGGACTCCAGGTATTCGACAGAGAAGCCATGAGAAGTTGTGGGTATATAACAGAGTCTTTATTGTAGCCCAAGCTCCGACAGGAGCTTTTAGACAAAGCAGACCTTCAAAGTAAAGTCCCATACAGTCGCCATACACCGGCTAGGTAACAATACATCTTTCCTACAAAGTCGCAGTAGCCTCCAACATAGGAGCTATACTGGAGCCATCTTTAGAGCCACAGCCTCACTAAGCAGCTGCCTCCCAGCACCCCTGCCTGCTGGTCAGTAACATACTTTAATACTAACTTAGACAAAAGAGGCTTCTTGCCAAATAGTGACCTCACTATCTTGGGTTACAGAAGGGCATGCTTGCGCAGCATACATACAGTAAGATAGCTGTGTCCTTGCTTCTTGCACCTGCGTACAGTAACTTAGCCTTGAACACTCCTGATTAGGATTCCCACGCTCAGAGTGGCCTTGAATATCCCGCGAACTCTAGACAGGGTCCTTACACAGTATTGCATATTTGGGCAACCGTCTACAATTGCTAAGATTTGTAGAACCCTCCAGAATTCCCTTTTTCTCTAGGAACTGTAAACCTGTTTCATAGGACATTTGGAAAACATTATTTTGGAAAATGATACTTAAAAATTTGATTATAAAATGATGGCAACTTGAAAAGTTTACCATTTGGGGGGGAAATATAAAATCTGCCCACCTGGCATGGCTCAGTAGTGACGGTTCCATTCCCTGTCAGGGCACATGCCTGGGTTGTGGGTTTGATCCCCAATGAGGGTGTATAGAAGGCAGCCGATCAATGATTCTCTCTCATAAATGTTTCTATCTTTCTCTCCCTCTCCCTTCCTCTCTGAAATCAATAAAGATGTATTTAAAAAGAAAATATTAAATCCTTCAGAAACCAGTTTAAAGAAACCGTATCTTTTTTTAAAAATTACAATGCCAGTATTGTATATTATTCTCATCAAATTAAAAAAACAAGCATTTCAAAATACAATCTCTAGTATTTAGTTGTGGTATTTATCAGAGACGCATTTCCATTGAGATTTACATTTTCTTAAGAATCTTGAAATGTAAATTTGGCTACAATTATTCTTCGGGCTACCATTGTACATAAGAACCACGTGGAGATATGTGTGAGTGTGCACATGTGTGCATCTATAATAAGGAAGGAAAGAATTACATGTATTCAAAGACTTTCAACTAGCTTTCCGCTCAGTTGAAAGAGCCTAATTGGTCCTAACTTTGCCTACCATCAGCGATATTTTCTCTATGTTGTTGGCAAACAGGCTTATTCAACTCAATTTTAAGCTGAGAGGGAAAAAAAAGTGGTCATTTATAATATTCAAATATTGGCCTACTCATTCATCAGACTGACTTTGTGCTGCAGTCTTTACCAAGTATAATCGCCTCCCCTTCAAACACTTCCCTCTCTAGCCTGCTAGAGGAAATGGGCAGTTGCAACTACTCGGTACAATTAATCACAAAATTATTTAACACTGAGAAAGAAGTCACATCAAAACCACTCCTGATGGAACCATTTTTCCAGGAAGAGAATTCTGACTACACCTGGCACACCCAAAGCCAGTATCACTGTCAAGAGGGAAGCCAAAATGCGCTTTAAAAAGGGGGGGGCGGGGGGAGGCATATATATCAAAGTAGAATAACTATGCATATGCATTACAATTCCACACAGCGCCTGTAGGACTCTTTCCAGCGGCCTGCTAGAGTCATTTCATACTGAAAACAAGGCGCCCCAAGCAGTAGCGGTGTCTGGTAGCCAGAACTTCCTTGATCCCTTCCTGTTATGTCTGGCTACGTACTGTGCTCCAACTGCAGTCCTGTTACACCTCCCATGTCATGTAATTTTAACACAGAAATCATGGAGACTAACTCTTATGGGACAATATAAAAGCTCGTTTGCTTCCCTCTTTGCCATGAGTAAAAGCAAGACTGCTTATCCGCACTGCAGCCTGAACAGATCAGGTCAATGAAATGGACCGTCTTTGAAATCTGAAGCCTTGTGTGTAAGTGAGAGCTCAGTGGCAGCCTTTATTTTCTTGCCTGCTAGCTGAAGCTGGGTGTTTCAACTCGACTCCCCAAAGCTTAATTATAATTTTAAAATATATCATGAGATTATTATAACCAGCTGTAGCTTTGTACTGAAATACTCAAATTTCCATATATTATGATTTTCCCCCTAATGGTTGGGACTGAATTTACAGTAAGAGGGAATAAATTACTTTCAATGATAACCTTAACTGATTTTTTTAACCTGAAACAAATCATTTAAATAATATGAATATGGTATTTCACAAAAGTTAGTGCAAATTTTATCAGCTATGTGCAATCTTGGAAAGTAAAATATAATTTATTAATAATAGTTTTTTAATAACCCAAATTCTAATTTGACTAGTTTACTTTATGTTATTAAGCTAATCACATACTTCTGTTAAAATATTTCTCACATAAGTGCATTTTCACCTTCCAAATACTATGCAACTAAGGTAGTTGGCATCACCAAAACTTTATGAGTAAATATTGCCATTATTTTAAAGTATTTTATGTATTTATTAATGAATTGACATTGTTATCTAATATTTATCTTAAATAGCTAATTTGAAGATAAACCAAATAAAGTCTGTGTCTATGAGGAAAATAATCAAAGTAGAAGATTCTTTCTTTTTTATATATATATTTTTTTAATTATTTATTGGTTGATCTCTTACCCCCCTACCTCCCGCCCCCGAACCCTCCCCGGCCTTCCCGCTGCAGTTTGACACTCTGTTTGAGGCAGCTCTGCCTCTGTATCTATTATTGTTCAAAAGTTTATAATGGTCTCATTATTTTTTAATATATATTTATTTACTTATTTCAGAGGGGAAGGGGGAGAGTGATAGAGAGATAGGAACATTAATGATGAGAGAGAATCATTGATCGGCTGCCTCCTGCACACTTCCTACTGAAGATCGAGCCTACAACCCAAGGCATGTGCCCTTAACTGGAATCGAACCCAGGACCCTTCAGTCCACAAGCTGGCACTCTCTCCACTAAGCCAAATCAGCTAGGGCAGAAGATTCTTTCATAGTGTCTGTCATTTATCCTAATATTGTATAATTCAAAGATGAGTGCTCGAACCTGTCTCTCAGAGAGCTCAAAATCCACTAGGGGACTCAAAGGAACAAATTTAATGAAATTCACATTATGGTCAGTTTTACAGTAGACTCATCAACAAAGGTTTGGAGGAATACAAAATGGGTTAACAATTCATACTGACCCGGACAAGTTCAAGGGGTCAGACCTGGGATGGCACTCCCCCATAAATTCTAAACAAGACAAAGAATAGGCCCACAGAATTGAGCATGCATGGCATGGGGACCAGAGACAGAGGTGGGTCTGTTGGGGCACAGAGAAAACAGACAATTTAGAACTCCGTGGCAAATACCTTGTGTCCTTACTATTTCTTCATTTTAATAAAATAAGATAACAGAGCATACAGGTAAATCGCCAGTCACAGAAATCACTTGTCAATGACACCTGATTTTTTTAAGAGATATGGAGCTTCGTTCTTTCTCATGATTCTGCGAAATGGCACGTCTCTCTGAGAGGAAACATGTAGTATACTCTCCATAGTCATATCAAGGAAATGAATCATCCTTAAAGAGGTTTTCTATAGTTAAAATAGCAGTCCATAGAATGAAATACTGCCATTTGCAACAATACCAATGAACCTTGAGACTACTGTGCTAAGTGAAATAAATCCGTAAGAAAAGGCTAGGAACCACATGATTTCACTCATATGTGGGATTTAAACCTAAAACTCGTGGACACAAACAGCAGTGTGGTGGTTGCCAGAGGAAGGGGGTCAAGGGTGAACGGAGTCCTCATATATGGTGATAGGAGATCTGACTTTGGGTAGTGGGCACAGTGCAATATGCAGGTCCTATAACATAGAAACCCACAGCTGAAGCCTCTATGACTATATTAACCAATGTCATCCCCTAAATTTAATTTAAAACAATAGTTTATAAAAAACAGTTAATTCATGTTATAATACCAACTCAATTCACTGACCACATTTCAGTTCAGAAATTCATTTAGTTCTAAATTATTTTTCTTACCTACCTTCAGGACTTCGATCTATCCATCAGAGGCAATGCAGAAAGGGTTAGGGGAGAAAGAATGCAACAAATTACCTATGGTAAAATTACAACACAAATTTAATACATATCTGCTTAAAAATATAAATTAAATTTTTCAAGATTCTCACTGATGATTTAAACTGCTCTCCAATAAAAATGAGCTAAGGTTAATCCACAATTGACAAGTAAAACATGAATAAATGAAATCTAACAATATATCTGTACTTCCATTCTCAGAAGTCCACGAGAGTGTGCTATTCCAGTGCAAAAGTGGCAAGAAGAGATAAAGATATATGATCTAGCCAAACAGCAAACCAAACTCAGTACGTAAATGGCATCAAGAGCATTAAATGCATTGTTGGGAAAACAGTTGCATGAAAGACCAAATACATAATCATAATAATATTTCCAGTTAGTCTTGCTTACATTATAATTTCAGTCAGTAGATACCACTATGCTGTAATGTCTTTGGGTGAGTTGCTATTCTTGCTATTCTTTTACTTCTATCTACTTTTTTTACTTTAATTTCTAATATATTTTCAACCAATTAATGCTATGCTCTTTTGTTTAGCAATAATTTATAGTTTTTTTAAATTCTGACTATAGAAAAGTATAATAGCCAAAACTGATACATGCAAAAAGCAGCTCACAGACTTATTTACAACTTTATAATATATTTTTAAGCATTTTGTCCACTTTGAAAATGTACTAAAGTTATAAAATCAACTCAGAGCATAAAATAGTCAATACATAAGCCTGAAAATTCCCTTAGGCAAAATAAAAACTACAATAATTATTAAAAAAATTACTAAAATAAGCAAAGTGGGCATCAGTAGAAGGAAAAAGAACTAAAAAAAACTGTATAGAAATAATTTTAAAATGTAACACTGCTGAAATACCTTATTATCAGTTACATTACATTTAATCATGTTTGCTTAAATGACAAAAAGCAATGATGAATTCTCTTCTTCTACCAATCAACTGTCAAACTGTTACTATAAAAAATTAACTATACAGGAAAAATATATAAAATTGATTGACTCAATTAAGTTGAAACTTATAATAATTGAATCTCAACTGGACTAAAGATAACCTTTTCCCCTTTTTTTCCAACTTTATTGAGATATTACTGACATATGTAAGTTTAAGGTATACAATGTGATGAGTTGATACACATATATATTGCAAAAAGATTACCACTATAAAGTTAGTTAATATCTCCTTCTCCTCATATAACTATCATTTTTTGTGGTGATAACTTTTGAGATCTACTCTCTTAGCAACTTTCAAGCATATCATACAGTATTGTATATTATGGTCATCACACTATACATTAGACACCCTCCTCCCCCGCAGGAACTTACTCATTCTAGAAGTATGAATCCTTTGACCGACATCTTCCCATTTTACACACCTTCCCCGACCTTTGGCAACCATCATTTTATTAAAAATAAACTTTTTAACCTAAAAAGAGGTTGTTGTTTTTAAATACAGATCAAATTATACTAGGTCTGCTCTTAAACCGACTGAAGGGTAATTGGTCACTAAAACAATATCTAAAACTCTGAACATTAATCTAATGTTAGAGTAACCCTAATAGTCTTTCATTTATTCAGACTAGGGTTTTCTCTTTAGTTCAAATAGATAAAGTATGACTATATACCATTCTTTTAGTGAGAGTAAAGGTATATCATATTTGCTATTAACTGAAAAAATAGAATCAAACACTTTGTATGGAAATCCACTAAATTGACTTATCACTAATTATTCATAACACATTAATGTAACTTGGACATACAATTTTATTTAACACTAGAAAAGAATCTTTTTTCATTTAATAATATTTTACAACGTGTTTTCCCATCTTACCATTTAAACATTTCACTCATAACTACAAGTGCCAAGGAGTGATTAATCTTGTTTACCTGTTGGTCTGGCATAAGAAACAACAGCATTTCCTTCCAATTCAGGTGGTGCATAACTTCCTTTCAGAAAAACAGAAAAGGCCACTGTTCTAGTCATCTCTGGTGCTATAAGCAATGTGAAAGTAATGGAAGTTACATAATTATTGACAGTGATTAACAACCATTCAAATTACAGCGGGGCCTTGACTTACGAATGTCCCAACTAACGAGTTTTTCGAGATACGAGCTGTCTCTCAGCTGATTTTTTGCTTTGAGTTGCGAGCTGAAATTCGGGTTACGAGCCAGCTTCAGATACCCCACTGCTAGTTGGCGCAGCAAACGTCACAGTGAACGCCACAACATCAGCCCAGCATTCAATTCATTGTAATGGTGAAAATGATTTGACATACAAGTAATTTGAGTTATGAGCTCCGTCATGGAACGAATTAAACTTGTAAGTCAAGGCCCCACTGTAGGCCTATATTGTATGCCAGCTACTGTCCTAAGCACTTCACATGGATTAATTCACTTAATCCTCACAATGATCCTAAAAGGTGGGTGGTATTATTGTCCCCAATCCTTTCTTTTTTGTTATTGTTATGGGAGGGGGTGGTATGCAGGAGGAAACTGGCTAGAGAGAGTAAGAGGCTTGCCCAAGGTCATATAGCTAAGACACGGCTGGGAACTGACTTCAGAGCAAGGAGGCCGAAGACTCTACACCACTGCTTCTCTTCGCTCAGGTGAACAGGCAGCATGGACAGAGACAAGGGTACAAAAGGGCAAGAGACTGTGGGAGTGGGAAACAGCACTTTCTCATGGTCAGGACAAGACTGCAGGGAAAATCCAAGGAGGGGACTGGACGTGAAGGAACTACAACAACAGAGACAGCAGATGGCGCGTAGCCTTCTGTAATCAGGCATTTGATCCCCAACCTGCATTAGAAAGCCCTAACGGGTTTGTAACTGGAAAAATAAATTGGTCAGAATGTATTTTAAAACCATAAATTGAAATTATTGTAAAAATTTAGAAAACAGCTCAGCCGGTGTAGCTCAGTAGTTGAGCATCAACATATAAACCAGAAGGTCACAGGGTCTATTCCTGGTCGGGGCACATGCCCAGGCTGTGGGCTCGAACCCCAGTGGGGGGCATGCAAGAGACAGCCAACCAATGATTCAATGATTCTTTCTCCTCATTGATGTTTCTACCTCTCCCTTCTTCTCTGAAATCAATAAAAATATTTCTTAAATAAAAATTAGAAAATAAAATGAGAAACCAATTGTTAGGTATCATGTCCAAGACTATTTCAGCCATTCAACCATTCCTTCACTCATTCAATGAGTAATTTACTGAGTTCCCACTATCTGCCAGGCATTCAGGTAAGAGTTGGTTATACAAAAGCAAAAGAGAGAGAGGTGTCCTTGACTTCCTGAATAAGACATAGGCTCCCCAGCTGAACTGTGACAGTAAACAAAGAAAGATAATTCAGAAATCACTTTAACAGAATCAGTGACAACTTACATGTAAGTGGGAGGGGATAAGAGATTCTGTGCCAAGAGGGGCCCTAATATAGGCATTATTGCAGATACCTTACAGAGATTCATTTTTTCATTAAATCCTCAAGACAGCCCTACAAGAAAGACATCATTATCCCTTTCTGCAGACTAAAAAAAAAAACGGAGGCTCCAAGTAATTACTAAAGTAGTTTGCCCAAGGTTACACATAGAGTGAGAGTCAGGGCCAGGATTCAAATTCCGGCCAGACTCCAAAGTCAATATTCTTTCTTCAAACATTACTGATTCAATAAATAGCTCACTAGAGAAACACTAATAAAGAAAGCCTTCCAAATTACAGTGTTTAAGTACAATTACAGGTCCACCTAGTTAAGGAAAGCCCTTGGAAATCTGTAATTACTTCAGACTCAACAACCATTCATTGAATGTCCATGCTTGATGCTTAGAGGGAAAACACCAGAAGCCAAACAACACAAGCATTAATTTCAGGAAGATACCAGTCTCACAATTCAGACAAGAAATATATCCATGAAATGAATACACTAATAAACAAAATTAACTTAAAAAAAAGAAAACCTCAAACTATGATAGACTTTAAGCCAAAACCAAACACTCACCGGTCAATTCAAAAGTGAATTGGTCACGTGACAATACCAAAGGTGGCTGCACGTAGACTGATAATTTGGCTTTTTGCAATGCCACTCGATTCTGCAGTGTGACCTAAGGAAATAGAAATTATTAGTAACTACAAATTATATTCTATCCAAATTAATAACATATCACAGCTACTTAAAAATCAGTACAAATAATTAGGAAACATCATCTGGGGGAAAAAATGAGAAGCTACAAAACATAACATGTAACATAAGTGGTAGAATGAAGTGTCCTACTCAGAGACTGGACCCTGAAGTTAAACAGACTTTTCTCCAAAGAAGACACAGGAAAGGCTAAAAAACAAATGCTCAATATCTTTAACTGCTACAAAATACAAATTAAAACCACAATGAGATACTACTACACAGCCACTAGAATACTATAATCAAAAGGTCAGATAGAAATAGGTGTTAGAAAGAACGTGGAAAAATTAGAACCCTTATATATTCTGATGGGAATGTAAAAAAGTACAGCCACACACAAAGTCTAACAGTTTCTTTAAAAATTAAACATAAATTTACCATACAATCTCACAATTCCATGCCAAGAGAAATGAAAACATATGTTCATGCAAAAACTTGTACACAAAGGTTCAAACCAGCATTATTCATAATAGCCAAAAGCAGAAACAACCCAAATGTCCATCAGCTGATGACTGGATAAACAAAATGCAGTATATCCATACAATGAAATACTAACCAGTAATACAAAGAAATGAAGTGCTCACACATGCTACAACATGGACAAACCTTACAAGTAGTGTGCTAAGTAAAAGGAGCTAGACACAAAGAAACACATATTGTATGATTTCATTTATATGAAATGTCCAGAATAGGCAAATCTATAAGGGCAGATATAGACTTGCAGTTGCTGAGGGATGGAGAGGGGAAATGAGGCGGGAGTAGGAGAGAAGGGAACAGGAAGTGACAGCTAATAGGAATGGGGCCATTTTTAAGGGGAATGAAAACGTCCTCAAATTAAATTATGGTGATAGTTCAACAACTCTGCAAATCTGCTAAAAATCACTGGATTATGTACTTTTAATGAGTAAATTGTATAGTATCTAAATTACATCTCAATAAAGCTATTAAAAATTTTCTACCATTATCCAGGTGATTACTTTGTAAGTTATATAAATACCCAATCACTGTGCTGTACACCTAAAACTAACATATTGTATGTCAACTATGATTTAAAAATTTTTTCATTTAAATTAATTTTTTAATTTAAATTTTTAAATTTTTAACTTAGAAATGTTCTATCAAAAGCAAAGGAAGATATCTGCCATCAATGGCTGATAAATAATTACACCATGAAATATTATATGTGTTCATTCTTCTTTTCATATAGATGTGGCATCATGAATTATTTATCTTAACCAGTATCAGTGTATTACATTGTACACAAGTCAATTATTCTCTAAATATTTCCTTACTTTGCCCAGCCAGTGTAGCTCAGTGGTTGAGCATCGACCTATGAACCAGGTGGTCACAGTTCGATTCTCAGTCAGGGCACATGCCCAGGTTTCAGGCTCGATCCCCAGGGTGAGATGTGAAGAAGGCAGCCAATCAATGATTCTCTCTCGTCGTTGATGTTTCTAGCTTTCTCTCCCTCTCCCTTCCTCTCTGAAAACATTAAAAAATATATATTTAATATAAAAGATTTCCTTACTTTTCCTTAAGGAAAGTAGTCTTGAAATTTCTCTTAAGTACAAGACTTGTATCACCTATTCCTTAATTATATATGCATAGCTTAGATACATATCAAAGCACTATATTTTCTTCTATGGCTTAAACCAAAAAATATCCAACATAACTAATTCTAGAAAATGTCAAAGAATGGCAGCATTCACCGCTGCATCTCTGAGCTGGCTGGACTTCCAAACTGGTGCTCTCGCTTGATGATGCTGGAAACCTTCCCACTCGGATTCGAATCAATGGCTAAGAACTCGGGTAGCAGTGTGTCGGGAAGTGGCTGGGGATGGAGCAGCATAGAAACCATGAGCCTGGTGACCTTTCCTGGCCAATGAGAAGGGGCATCATTTTCACGCTGTCAAGGAAAAAGCTTAATGATCTGGCTTCCATTGGGCATGCTCTCTCTTTCGATCGTATCTCCTAAACGGCCCCGTCTCTTTGAATAATCTCTCCTAGATGAGCGCACATGCTGGTGTGGTAGGACAGACTTTCACAGTAGACCTGGGTATTGCTCTTCACGTGACACCTAATATCACCAGAGCTGAAGAGCATTCTCTACCTCGTACCTTTGCTATGGGTCAGTGCAGTCTAGTTACCAGGCACTAGTATATGAGACAGATATATTTCATTATTAACTGGCATAATGAAAGGGCTTAGTTATTTTTAAGGAAAGTAGTTCTGAAGTTTCTCTTAAATAAAAGGCATGTATCACCTATTCCTTATTTATATATACATAAATACATACATACATACATACATATAATAGAGAAACCATGTACAGCAATATACAACTGGCCCACAAACATTATATATATATATATATATGTAATTAGATTCAGTAAATACCTTGAATTAATTTTAAACAATGTGGATATTTGTACAACTTAAAAATAAGTTAAACATGAAATTTTGACTTGCACAGTAAAATTTTTAAAAGACAACTATTGATGCAGATAAATACAGTAAACATAGCAAATGAACAATGAACCCTCAGTTGTTACTTTCAGCCCTGGGAATACATGAGGGGAATCTGCATCCCACGAACAAAGCTTCCTCAGTGACGTCTGACCATTGTAAACCTACTGCCTTTCTAGTCAAACCCTGATGGCAATTATGAGAAGAAACCAGATATGCACCACAGACAACATTCTTTCAAATAGCTAGTCCGCTGAACAAATGGAACACATTTTAATACTTTCTATTAATAATAATACGATGCTAGCCTATACATACATTTTTAATTAATCACATTAATGATAACCATTAGCAGCTTTCTATATTCATAGAACCAGGCTAATAGATTACTTATGTGCATTATCTCATTTATTATTTGCAACATGGTGAAACAGCTACATTACTATATACCATTTTATAGAAAAGAAAACTGTGGCTCAGAGAGGCTAAATGATTCGCCCAGGGACATTCTGATTGTAAGTGGGGGAACCACCGTTGAACTTCTGGCTGCCAGAATCCAGAGCCCACGCTCTGAATCAACTGGGGTTAAGTCTCAAAACAACTCTCCACATGAACGAGAGCCCCCATTTTACACTTTAAAGACAGAGCTTCAGAGACCATCAAGCCAGTATGTGCAAGAGAGCTGAAAGCTCGGTTTTAAAAGTGAACGTGAGCAATCCTGGAAGTAGTACCGGGCTGTGGGTAAGCGAGCAGACACTCTGACTGACTGCCTGGCCTGGCAACGTGAACTTAGACAAAGGTCACACAGCTTTACATTGTCACAAAAGTGTCTGCATTTGGTAGAGGCACAACCGTGAGAGCTCTCCTACATGGACTTACAGAACCCCAACAATGGTGAGGCCCTTTCCAAAGTGAATCAAGGAGATGTGGGACGAAAATAACTACAGGAACAAAGAAGAGCTGTGTTTGAGCCAAAAAAACAGTTAAAGACTTGGCTAGATCGTAAACTTCATATTTTAAGAGAAAAATAATTATAGAATATTAAGGGAAAAGTATAAAACATTAATACAAGAATTTTCCATGCTCTTTTCTGCTCCTAACAAAATGAAATATGATCCTTAGGAAACAGAATACTGAATTTTTTATCCTCGGTGTATAACCAGGACTCCAAAGGCCAGGTATGAACAAACCACTCTCCCATCAGGCACACTTACTCAAGGCAGCCACATCTTCGCTCACGTGGAACGGATGGAAACATTTTCTCAATTAACAGGATTTATTATGATGGAAACATGCACGCTTATATATCTTGGCCGCTGTTGTTATAAAAGGCTAGAAGGGGAGATTTATAGTAGAAATGTGTATAGAAACTGTCAGACCGAATCAGGAAGGCATTGTGTCTGCTGCGGAAGTCCGGCTGACCGTGTGCGACCCTGTGTGGTGCCTTCTTTCTCCTGTTCTTTAGTGGCAACAAGAAGCGTTAGGAATGGCTTAGAGTCATTCTCAAACGCAGTAACCCACCGGTGAAGGAGACTTCCCCCGTAGTGTCATGCCAGCATCTGGAGGTGGCTATTCCACCGGAGAGCCTAAGAGCTGCCTGGGACAGAAAGGTGTGTTTCCTTGTAGCCATCAGCAGTAGCTGGGGGCGGAAATTAGCATGAGCAATGTTATCTGGTTGAGGTACGAGACTTTTCTGCAATGTATAGTGTGCGCCTGAGTTATTATGTGTATGTGTCTGAACAGTATCAGTAGATAGACATAAAAAGGGTTTCCCCACACAAGTCTATAGATCATTCCTGGAACTCTGAAGGGTTTCTTTTTTCTTAAGTGTTTGATTTCTTGCCACTAATGCTTTTCCAGACTCAGAAGTATTAATGAGATAGAGCCTTTGATTGAATAGGGGAGGGAGACTGGGGAAAGACCACCCTTGTTTCCAGTGGCAAGAATCCAAAAAAATTAGCTTAGGAAACTGTTAAAAGATTGGGCTCCCTTCAACTTATACCACAGAGCCCCACACTAGGGCCACCGCCGGGCCCAGTGTAAGCGAACACAATTGGTAGAGCCTGGTACCCTGTCAAGCTCCTCCAAGGACAGCAACCCATAATCTAAGAAAATATGAGGCCCTGTCCAAGTTTTGAGCGAATCGCCAAGATCCACAACTTTCCCTGGCTCCACGCTCTGGGCAGTGATAAATATTGTCAGCTTAATAATGTGCTGACTGATTACCACACTTTAATCTAAATGCCTTAAGAGGGTTCTCCATTTGAGTCCTAGTCTAAAATTCTATAATGACGGGACTAAAAATTTTAACCAAAACCACATCCTTCATATTCTATTTTTTCAAGACTATCAATTTGTCACTACTCTACTTTGTGGCTTCTTCATTTAATATTTTCTTGCTATAAATACACCCCTTTAAAGCTAATATTATGGCAGATAGATGGTTGGGAATTCTTTTCAAACACACATATAGTCATTCCTAGAAGAAAGCTATTATTAGCATTCACATAATTCCCTCGTATATATATATGATGCTTCAATCAACTGGTTGGTCTATGTGATGACGCAATTCCTCTAGCATATTTAAAATGCTAATTGTTTCTAGAAAAAAAGACCCTGGATCATACAACACATTTAAGTAATGGTAGGAATAAGTCATAACAATTGTTTCTATTATGTACATATTGCTATGAATGCAATTATCAGTTTCATATTTGTAGAAAGCAATGAGGTTATCAATTCACCACCCAAGGCTGAGGAAAGCATACAAACTCCAAGTGTTTGCATGACATTTCCATTGGCTGTTTAAAGGGTGACAACAGTGACAAACATGATGAAATGTGTACTATTGTGTGCGCATCACAGTCTAGAGCCATTGTACAATACCTTCACTGTGACTGAAGGGACAAGGTCAGTTCCCACTTCAACGTCAGGAGCTTGCTGTAAACACACAGAAGGAAGGAAGGAAACAATGGTTTCAATATTACACGTCAACATACACTTCTCACTGCCGAAATCGGGAACCAATTGCAAAGGACTCGTCACTCCGATGACAGACTAGAAGAGTCCGTGTGGCTTTTCGGACGTCTTCATCTAGAAAGTCATGAGGTAATATTCAAACACCCCCCCCCCCAAAAAGGGTCTTATTACCAAGCTCTATTGCCAAATGTACTTGAATGTTGAAACTAATTAATTCTATTAACTCGTTCTTTATATTACACAGAAGACGGCCTCCTTATATTTCCCAGATAAACATTATGCTATCCTTTTCGGCCCTTTTATTTTTAACTTCCAAAGGTACTTTATTCTTATTAATAATATGAATATGTATCTAAGACATGTAACTGATAATAAAAAGATTAAGGGGCCTTACACCTAGAAAATAAAATAAAAGTAGGAGTGTGACTTTTTTTTCACCAGCTCATATCATAAACTAGTTCACTCTTTGAGCATCAGCCCAGGCTACCTGTTTCTACCACTTAAGAAATTCAGAGTATTGTATAATAGAGCAAACATTCCCTTAAAATTTATAACATTTTTATGTATTTTATTTTTTAGAGTGGAAGATTGAGAGAGAAAAATTATCACTCTGTGACAGAATAAAACAGAGAGAGGACATATATTTTAGTAATACTCATATGAATTCCTGGGGAACAATTAAGGTCCTAAATCTGTATCCAACCAATGAATAGATCAACTGTACTTTCACTTAACCTATTTGGAATGTTTTTACATCTAAACAATGGAGATTGCTATGAAATAATGAGCATCAGCATAGTTAAGAGTTGGAGATTCATAGTATATTTATGACGCCATAGAAACCATATATAAACTCGAATCCAACTCAATCAAGAAGATAAGATAGCAATGCTTGCCTCCTCTATAAAAGACCCCATTCTAATATAAATTATATTATGTTTTCAGATGTGTGCTTTCATATTAATGATTCAAAATAAAATATTAAGCCAGGCTTTTGGGGATAGTATTACTTAAAACCCAGGAAATGTTTTACATTTAGCTGTCTAAGTGTCTAGAAAAGAAACAAACATCTCCTGTTTCCTGCTCTTTTCAATCCATTGTCTGAACACCTCGGTACTTCAAGTCACCCTTTGGGAAATAAGACTATAGTCAGAGAGAAATGGCTTTCCAAAGACACCACAGCACCATGGCCACATAAATCGTTGGGCTAATGTTTTCCAATGGAATGAATACGATACTCTCAAGAATCTCTTATGAAGGAAAAAAAGAATGAGACAGGAAAATGAAGCTGGAAAGAGACACCTAGTTAAAAGGAAACAGCACTCCAGGTTGCCAACAGGGAAATATACATTACAATCTAGTGCTAGTACATAAAGACTTTTCCTTCAAAGATCAAAAGTTGCCAAAGAACAGAGAGGGAATTCCTCATTCCAAATAGCCTATGTTTAAGAGAATCTAAAAAAAAATTATATAAGTTACCCAAAGGAAAAAAAGAATCATTCCCAAGGCAAGAAAATGTGTGTACATTTGTCAGCTAACTAAGCAGAAGTGTTCCACCAGACTACACCCTTCAGGTAGAGTGAGGAATGGTGTGTGCTGAACGGCCAATGTTAAAACAGTGCTTCCACTATGTGACCAGCTGGGTGAATGTTTCTTTCATATGGAGTCCTATTTTTTTAAGTGTACCCAACTTACTATACTATAGCAATGTTAACGTGATTTTTATCACAACATGGGTTGGCTGTTATACTAAAATTAATCTCAGAAAAACGTATGACAACTACTGACTCTATTATGCTCTGTTACCTAGATATTAAGTCATTTCCTAGGCAAAATTATATAATTACTAGAGGCCCGAAGCACGAAATTCGTGCAAGAGTAGGCCTTCCTTCCCCTGGCTGCCGGCATCGGCTTCCCTCTGGGCACCTGGGACCCGGGCTTCCCTCCAGCAGGCACCCAGGACCTGGGCTTCCCTCACAACCCTGGCTTCGTCCAGAAGGTCATCGGGAAGGACATCCAGTCTAATTAGCATATTATGCTTTTATTATTATAGATATGACACAAATACAGTAAAACCAGTGAATTCGATCACTGTCTAAATTGATCAGCTTTTGGTATGGACACAGAAAAACTTTATAGATTTTGCCCAAACAGCAAGCAGTGAGACATAACCAGTCAGAATCTAACAAGTGCTTACAGAAGACTAAACAAGGAGATGGGGTAACATAGCCAAGGAAGTCCCCCTTTCATCTTCTTGTTTCTCAGCTTTATTCATTCACTCAGAGAGCAAGTATCTTCTGAGCACCCAAGTAAGACAGGCACTAGATATGGCAGTGAATGACACAAGTAGTGAAACATAGATGGTGGCAATGGTAGCGGTAGAGGCGGTAGTGGTGGTAGTGGTGGTAGTGATTATAATGTTGGAAGATCTAAAATGTAATTTTATGATGATGATGCTGGTTAATTATCATAACAATTCAACAAAGGAGATTCTATTATTTTTCTCATTTTACAGATGAGAAAATTGAGACTAAGAAAATGAAATAACTTGCCCTGGGTCACACAGACAAAAATAGGGGGAGCAGGGCAGGGGGCGGGGGGGAGAAGGGAAGGAATAATTCCTGGCCCAACTGTTTCTCTTAAACTCCACACAGATAGCTCATCACAGCCACCATAATGTATTAAAGATTGTAAATTATCAAACCCGGAGCTAAACCTTTCATAAACATTATTTCATTGAACCTTCAACAAACATCTTGCGGGGTATTATCCATCTGGATTAGAATTAAAGTTAAACTTTAAAAAAAGGTAGATTCAGAGTAATGGTGAGAACTCCTTCTACTGTTCCTCTCCCCCTTTTTAGACAGATATCTGCTAGAAACTCCTTACTGCACCCAGGAAGCTAGAGATGTTTATTTCCAGAAAATAACAAAGATTATAAATTGTTATCCTCCCTAAAGCTTCTATTTGAAGGCCTATCATTTCAGCCAATAAATTTTGACCCCAATTTAGCAGAGTCCCCACTATCACCAACCCTTTCAACGTCTGCAAAGACACCTACAGACACGGAGTCGAAGTCAGGAGAAACCACGGCAGAAATTTTCAAGTCATCTTCTCTCTCAGTCATGGGCCAAACACCTATAATTTGGAAAAAAAGAAAAGAAAGACAAGAAATTCTTTTTAAAAAGACATTTTATCGTAAAGTAAAACCTGCTTTATAGTTTTTAAGAGTTATCTATACCATATATCCCAAACACCCATAAACATACACATTAAAGAAACTAATGCATTACAGAATTAGAAGCTTGATGCTAATTCTTCCCCTTCTACAATATTTTAAGAAAAAAAAACTGTCTCTTTCTCCAAAGAGAGTAGCTAAGATGTGACCTACTGCCTAACCCGTATTGGGAACTTCAGTGCCTTCTCCTTCACTTCTGGTGGAAGCCTACGTTAGTGCAACACTTTTGAAGGTAAGTTGGTTTGAAAGTAATTACTCTTAAAGGTAAGTAATCCCACTGCTTGGGGGGAGAATTGTTAGGTGACAGGATCCGTACAGTTTACATTTTGATAGTTATTACCAGCTCACAGGCATGCCCAAGGAAGTTCTCTGCTGCTGGTACTTATTAAAAACAAAACAACCTAAAGCTCTATATTTCTATTAATAGGGAAACAGTTAACTAAATTATGGTATATCCATGTTGTGCAATGGTCTAAACCCCAGAGCTGTAAGTAAGAGTGCTATCTTTATATACCGAAAGAAAAAAATTCCAAGCTATGCCTATTAATAAAAAATAAGATGTAGCACAGTGTGTTTATATGCATTTGTAAAAAAAAAAATCACAAAAACATGAGCAATTTTCTAAAGAATACACGACACACTTGATAAAGATTACTTTTCATCGCATGGAGTAGGACCTGGGGTTTTACCCTTTTAGTACTGTTTGAATTCCTTTCACCATATTCATATTATTTTCACAACTTAAAATTACACTATTTAAAAAAGCTTATAGTGTATAATACGATATTATGAATAACTGACAGAGATCCTAAATAAGCAAGGAACATAAATAATATTTATGCAATGTGTGTGTGTGTGTGTGTGCGCGTGTGTATGCACACATGTACATGACACACTGCTGGCTGCCCACCTACCATCCACCTTCATGCCTCCTTCATTACCAGAGTCCTGATTCTGTTGAGACATTCACCTTCACCTCAAAGTCATTGGGTTGATCAAATCCAATTATGTCCACCTCATTCCCCTGACGGTTGGTTGTTTTAGGCATGAGCATGGGGCTTAATCCTGGCAGCTGTGACGCAAGGAAAGTTGGGCGTGGGGTTGGGGGATTCTGGTACATGCTTCTGGGAAAGCTATTCCTCCCTAATAAACGGGGAGACTCGGGAGAAACACCTCTCTTCTTCCCTGGAAATCGTACTTGCACATGCGCCTGGGACTGCAGAAATCGCCGGGGACCCCGCCAGGAACACCCCCACACGCTGAGAAGGGCCAGCTGGACAGATGGAGAGCCCTGGACGCAGCCACATGAACCATCCGTGTCTGGCCAACAGCAGACCTGCCTACGCTTCCAGCAGGCATTCCCAGCAGCGCGGCAATATTTGGAACAGGAATTTCCATAACTTAGTGAGAGTACAGGAGGCAGCTCATCGCCCACCCAATAACCATCCTTCAAGAAGCCCAATTTTATTCTAGGCAACGAAGTGCTCGGCTAAAACCCTAACTTCCCAGCCTCTTTCGCAGCCTGGAGTGGCCAGTGAGAAGAGAGAAGCTACTCAGGGTGTGGCTTCCAGGAAGGATCCTCCAGGAGCTGACTCAGCCGCAGATGTGAGGGCAGCAGTTCCAGAAGCCACCCTGGACCAGCAGAGGCCCTGGGAGGAGAGGAAGCGGAGTCCCTGATGACCGTGCAACTGCCAAACCGACCCTGGTCTGCCATCGCCGCACTGCCTCCCCGGGAAAGAGACACACCGCCTGGCCGACGCCACTGCATCTGGGCACAGCCACACAGCGAACAACACATCCCAGCACGGGCACCAAGCGCCGGTGTTCCTAGCACACCACTGCGGCAGCACGGCTGTCCTGGACCTACTTCATCGGGATGCAGACTTTCACCTACATGCCGGAGCTCACTGCTCCCGCCCTTCCTGAAGGCATATCCTACCCACTCCTCCTGACTCACCCAAGTAGAGCATGACCAACTATCTAAATCATAGGGAAACCCCATCTTTTTTTAAATTCTTTTTTAAAATATATTTTTTATTAATTTCAGAGAGGAAGGAGGAGGGAGAGAGAGCGATAGAAACAACAATGATGAGAATCATTGATCGGCTGCCTCCTGCACGTCCCCCACTGGGAGAGAGCCCGCAACCCAGGCAGGTGCCCTGACGGGGAATCGAACCGTGACCTCCTGGTTCATAGGTTGATGCTTAACCACTGGGCCACATCGGCCAGGCAGGTAACCCCATCTCTGAAAGTGCCTACCGACAGCTGTTGATGCTGGTAATAGAAACAGTTGGCAGGATTCACACTAATGAGTTGGGCACAGAAAGCTTCAAAATCCATGAGCCATACTGGAATTATTACTATAACTTCATGCTTACAACATACATTCCTCATATAACTTACACACATAAAATCGGGTTCAAAACCTTTTTATTACAGTAGATAATATGCACCATGTGTATAACAAAATGTACTCTTTAAATTGGCTTTAAATTTTGCTGCAATTCTAGCTTTGAAGAAAAAAAAAAAGCTCTTTAAGTACTGACCATAACCCACAAGACTGAAATTTTTTGTAAGTTGAAGTCACTATACGAAAATAAGTGGCATTTAAATGAATAATAGGGTCTTCAAAAAATTCAGTTTTAATTTTTCAGAATCTTCTATAGTGAAACGATTTGCTACTTTACATAATTACAGGTATTTTAATAAAAAATATGCCACCGATTTATAAGGGTAAAGAAAACTACATTTTTCCGTATCTAGAATAAAGTAGTTTAAAAGTCTCTCTTTCTAAAAAATTTCTCTTTGTTTCTTTTTCAGGAATAAAACCAAATGATGGTGGAGAAAGGGCAGAGCACTTCAAATATCAACGAGAACTTGGGGTTATGGAAACAATGAACTCTGAACCCGAGTCCATGGGCACATCCCTAACCTAATTAGCAGTTATTTCAAATTACACAGAAGGATCAAGGTAGTGACAAGTAGAACAACCTAACCCTTCTCACCCAAGGGCATCACTATGGTCACCAAAAACATAACTTTTAGCTGGAAGGGGTTTTTCTGAGAAATGTTAACACAATTAAATGGTAATCAAAATACCATTAGCACTTTGTTTATGGAAAGAACAAAATCTCAAAAAAAACAAAATTTGGAGTGAAAAGCCACATTAAATGTATTTAACGAACTCTAGAAATTTCATGTTTCACATATACGCCACTCTTCCCCAACTACATTTTTAAACAATAAAATGAGACTTATAATTCCATTAATCCCAAAACAATAGTATCAAAAAATGGGGGGAGGGGTTGTATAGTGCAATCTGATACATCCAATTTTAACTATTCTCTATTTGACAGGGAGGTGCTGACAGCAAATAAATAGGTTTTTAACTAATGAAAGTTATTAAAAGACCTAAGTTTCACTGGTTCACTTTCAAAACTTTCTAAGAGAAAGTGCGAAGCCAAAGAATAATCATTTTATTTTAATATTCATACTCTTTAAATATATTATCTAAAGTCCTCTGACTCTTGTCTTGGTAATTCAGACTCAAAAATACATAAATCTCATAAAGTGATTGGACCAGGAGTAAGACTGGCTCTGAGGTTTTGGTTGGCTTTTGATGCTCTTCTCCTTTTATTATTCCTACTTGTTTTAACATTTCTTTTACGTGAAAATAGTCCATATTTTTTCTCATTAAGAAGAAGAAAAAAAAACAACTTTTACCTGACCCTGAAAAGGGAACTTGCAGTAATGCCTTTCACATGTCCAACTCAAACGCAGGATTGGGGTTTTGTTTCTCCTTTTAATTTACAATAAAATTATACCCCTGTGAATCCCAAAGTAAGATAATATTGAGTTATTCAAAACTCAGGAACTGAATATACCATCAGCCTCTGAGTCATTAGAAACAGCACACCGCGGGCTATGCTCTGTGGATGCTAACTACAAACATAAATTCTATCGCTAAGCTGCAAATGACTACATTTTTAGTAACAAAGTGATAACTCATGTATTGCTTTGGTTTTCTTTTCAAAGAAGCAACTAACTTTTTTTCAGGGATATTAGAAGTTAATGGCCACTCTAAACTTTAATGCTCTTCTGAAGGCCTGAAACCACTGACCAAAGAGGTACAGGTTCCTTTTTTGTTGTTGTTAAAAGGAAGTTCATTGAGTATTCTTACATATTGTGTACATCTGCTGATCTGATTGACATGTAGATAAAAGAACTATCACTATTTGATGACAAAGTAACATGTATTTTAGAAATCCTTTTCTTTCTTCTTTCACTAGAGGCCCGGTGTACGGATTCGTGTACCCATGGGGGTCCTTCAGCCTGGCCTGCAGGGATCTGGCCAAAACCAGCTCTCCAACATCCTCCGAGGGGTCCCAAATTGCGAGAGGGCGGTTCTCGATGACACACCCCAAAATCGGGCCCCCTCCTCTCTGATTCCAGGTGCATCACCCGAGAACGGCAGCTGCCAAGTCACCACAGCTCAGCAGCTCCTATGTTGAGCATCTTCCCTCTGGTGGTCAGTGTGTGTCACATCCACCAGTCAGAGCGTCTGCCCCCTGGTGGTAATTACGCATCATAGCTACCAGTCGAATAGAGACACGGGCACTTAGGCTTTTATACATATAGAATTCATTTAATGTTTTTGCTCCTAAGAGCTCCCAATAGGAAACTAATTCTGCTTGTTCTTTTTCAAATACTGTATTGCTAGAGGAGCACTGATTCCTTTTTTAGACCTTAAAGGAAAAAAAAACTAGATAGCACTGTCCTCGAAAAGGGGATACTAGTGAAAAAGTTTTCTCTTAAATAGGACATATTTTTCAGAACTTATAAAATTCAAATTAGGCACAAAGACTTGTGGGTTAAAGAGCAGCACAGTTCTTACAAATATGACTTTAATTAAACCTGAGGAAGAAAATTAATATGTACAAAACATTATCCAGATACAAAGTAAAATCAAATAATAAAAGCGTCAAATGAGATACCTTGTGATTTGTTAACATCTTTAATGATTCTCTGAAGTTCTTTCAGCTCTGCATCAAGTGCATCATAATTCAGTTCTCTGGACTCAACTTTGGGGGCTTGGAACAAAGACGGGTCTGTCCCCAGGTATGAACACTGCAGGTGACCATCCTCACTCAGGGTAACTATTACCCCCTTTAAATCACTACAATAAAGCAGAGAAAATAAGACATAATTAATTTTTTTTGTGGGTTTAGATTGACCAACTACATTTTTATTCAATTAAGCTTTAATATGCCATTAAGAAAATGACTACCTTATCTATTTCTAAAATTTTAGATCAAAGACGCAATTCAAATGTTTCAAACATGGCCCTAGCTGGTTTGGCTCAGTGGGTACAGCGTTGGACTGCAGACTGAAGAGTCCTGGGTTCGATTCCAGTCAAGGGCACATGCCCGGGTTGGGGGCTCGACCCCCAGTAGGGGGATGTGCAGGAGGCAGCCAATCAATGATTCTCTCTCATCCCCTCTCCCTTCCTCTCTGAAATCAATAAAAAATATTTTTTAAATGTTTCAAACATGATTTGTATTTACAGAAGTAGTCCCAATGTTCTGATTCATTACAGGAGGAAAAAACCACTAACAATTATTATAATACAGTAGCTGTCACTTTGGAGGACATAACTACACAGCAAATCCTGCTTTAAGAGCTTTTCAAGTACCATGTCTTTAATCCTCACGCCAGCTCCCATTTAGCCTATCATTTTAGCCTACCATTTAAAAAAATCAAAGTTGTTTTCTGAACTTGCTATAAGAGTAGCTGAAGTGAACACCATTTGCTTCTTCCATAGTTTGCACAGAAGAAAAAATTTAAACAGTGTCATAAGTCATTTTGAGCTAGTACAGAATGAATTTGCTTGCTTGATTTTTGTTATGTTTTTTAGTGGCCAATGATTTTTTTAAAGGGTTACCAACCAGGTTCTAAAGGTTAAATGTTAATAAAAAATCATAGAAAATTTTAAGAGAAAAAAATCCGGAAAGATGTTGTTCATCTGAAGAAAAGGATGAGGTATATAAGGCCCTAGGCCTTATTGCGAATAGATAAGAATTCTTAAAACTCCCCAACATTGACTCATGGCATGTGGTCAGCTCATGAATCCAAGAGCTCAGCTGGACTGAGAGGAGCTACTACACTGTTTGATGCTTCCCATAGGTGGCCCAGCATCCACTTTGCCACCTGCCTTCAACACAACATTCCTAACTCCAGGGCTGAGGCACAGTCAGTGCCACATAACTGTATGGTATAACCTCAGGAATATAAAAAATCGATGTACATCCCTGATCCAACAGCTAAAGAACTAGACTAGGAGGTGGATTAGGGACTTGGGTTCTAACTCTGACTCTGCTACTATATAGCTGAGTCAACTCAGAGAAGCCTCCCTAAATGTTCTTTATCTCCAAAGTGAGAAGGAAAGATGACCCTCAAAGGTCTTTAAGTTTTATGAATTGGTTCTGTCAGTCTGTCTCAGAAAATAAATACTCCCAAAATGAAATGATTTTCTTCAAGAGTGAAGCAACACCCTAGCACCTCTGGGCATGATCCGTTCTTTGTGGACAACTGAAGCCCCCTAGTGGTCGTGGAAACCCTAACTTCCAGCTCTGACAACCCCGGTTCAAAAGGGCTCTGAGGGGGTCACAGTGGTGTGCTCCCATCCCACGCAGCCCCACTGAGGTTTAGGGGCCCAGTGGGTCCTCAGGAAACTCTAGGACACTGAAAGGCAGATATCTGGCTGGCTTCTCAGAGAATGTGGAGATCATTAGTCCTTTGAAAGGGTTTTTCCATTTCATCTTCACCTTTGAGTGGTCCAGAATATAGGAAAGCTAGCCTGGCCTAATACAAATATCCCTCACTATGCAAATTTGGTCTTTGAGTTGGCTAGCTTATTATTGAAGCACTTCTGTCCCACTATTTTAGATAGCAAATAGCAACAATGTAGACACAAGGATTTATCTAAAAATTTATCTGAGCCTTCTAAGTTTCTGAGTTCAGATAAGAAGAGTTTGAATAGTAAAGCCTACATGTATTTTTTAACTGCCTTTCTACTTAAAGAATATTTTATTTAACAATATTGTCCATAGGGATTAATGTGGTAGGTTCTGTGAATGACAGAATTTTATTCTGGAAGAAGCCATTAAGGAAATCAAGTACTGTCTACCATACTACACATATCTTTAAAATAGAGTGAACAATCCAAAAATTAAGGTCTCTGGGTTATTATCAATCCTGAAGCACACTGGCTAACCCAAGGCATGAGTATTTTATGAGGAATCAAGGTCAAAGATGTTATATGCATTGGACACATAATAATTCTGCAATTTTTAGCAATGGGGCATGACACTAAAAAATAGAATCTGCTTAGGAATCTGAAAGTCATTGTTTCATCACTCGGTAAACAGATTCCTGTCCTAATAATACATCCAAACAAAATTCCAGATGGATTTTAAAAGTCAAACTTAAAAATAGGAAACTGCAAAAATATTTATCTGCCCTTGGGATGGAAAGGACTTTTGCTGCAAGAAAGCTATAGAGGAAACTACAAAGGACATTATCTCTAAATCAAGCCACATAAAAAATTTAAACTTGTTATATGCTTTAAAACATGGTAAAAAGAACAAAAGGCAAACTGGGAAAACACTGGCAACAAACATAAAATACATAACTCAAGTCAAACCATATGAAGTTGAGAATATTCAACTGTTTTTAGCCTATAAAGTCAGTTTTATGTGTTTCAGCTAATATGTAAAAACTCTTACCAATCAATGAAAATAAGATTATATCTGAAAACAAGGTCAAAAGAAATGTATGATTCACACATAAATAGTCACTAAATAGATTAAAACACATTCCAAAATCAATAAAGTATATTTTTAAAGCTATCCTTTATTATTTAATACATCAAACTACCCAAAATTGTATTTAAAAATCAGTCCTGATGTTAGAGAAGGTACATGGAGATAAAAACTCACATACACTTTCAGTGGGAATGCAAATTTGTTAAAAATCCTTTTAGAGGACATTTTAGAAATATATATCAAAAGCTTTGGAAATAAATGCTCATTTTTCATACAATAATCTACTTTCACAGTTTTTAAGAAAATTTAAGATCAACCAAATGATAATAAAAAGGGAAAATATTTTTAATTGTGATACAGCTATAATAGAATGCTTAGAAGCCATTAAAAATCATGCACTGGGCCTCTAGTGTTTTATAATTAAATAAAATTTAAAAGAAAACTATTTTCTTTTTGTAAGAAAAAAGTATTCTATTTTCCATCCCTAGACACTGAATTTGAATCATCAACTTAGAGGTTAAATAATCTGTGGGATTAGAACTTTTATCTAGTTCTCTTTTTGTTACAAGGCCAATCTAGAAAATGTACAAGAGATAAAAAATGAACAGTTTCTTTCATTTGCTAATTCAATCAAACAAATGAGCTCTAGTTTTTAAAACAAATGAAAAAAATGCACTCAATCAAATAATATTTTATTGAGCCAGATTTTATGTAAAATAGAAATATTTTAAGTTATCAGATTATAATTCTGGTTTTTGTTATTATATATCCATATCAAAAATATTGAAAACTGCCCGGCCAGTGTGACTCAGTGGTTGAATGTCAACCCATGAACCAAGAAGTCACTGGTTCCATTCTACATCGGGGCACATGCCCACGTTGCACACTTGATCTCCAGTAGGGGGCGTGCAGGAGGCAGCTGATCAATGTTTCTCTCTCATCAATGTTTCTATCTCTCTATCCCTCTCCCTTCCTCTCTCTCTGAAATCAATAAAAACATTTTTTAAAACTTAAACATTATTTATTAGACCCAGTTTTTACTCTGCCTCAGTCAGAAGCACGGGATTGAAAGGCGCTTTCCTTCAAGAACAAGAGCAGATGGGAAGCAGGCAGCCCTCCCTCGGCCCCAACAGGCTGGACCTGACCACTTGAATATAGGCTGACTCACTTCACCATCTCTCAACAACAGAACAGAAGCTACAATGGCAAATAAAACATGGTCTTGCCCCATCGGAAACTGGTCTAGTTGTAAAGGAACATCTTTTTTTCTTAAATAGCACCTGCAGTATAACATGGCAGATGCTATTGGCCCAGTAGGAACAGACTGCAGTGACTTCGCCAGAGAATAGGACAAGTTTCATGGGGCAGAGGATGCGGGAGCGGGACCTGACCTACAAGTAGATCCTTAGATGAGAAATAAACCAACAGTTCGAAGGAAAAGGACCCTGGCCTCAGTGAACTCATTCAGTCTCATGACTTTAAATATTAAATATGGAGTATCTTTTAGGGCCAGCTCCCCTGTTTATACCTCCAGACAGACCTCCCTCCCACGTCCAGCCACATACTTGACCTCCCCACCTGGAAGGCCCAGAGACATCTACCGCCAAAAGTGCCTACAGCAGAGTTCCTGATTGGAGCTCCTCCTGTCCCACTCAAACTCGTCCCTCCTGCAGCCTTTCCGAATTTCCAAGACAAGAAGATAGATTCAGCATTCAGTGACATAAAGAAGTCAAGGCACTGGGACAAAGATTAGGCCAAGGTGGGGCCAAGAAATTACATAGGATTAAATCATACAGATTCATTCATCCTCAAACAATAGGAAGTCACAAAAGGTTTTTAAGTATAGGAGTGAGAAATAACATGATCAGATTCATCTCTGACAAAGATCCCTTCTGATTGCAATGTGGAGAGATGAAGGGGCGGGGGGGGGGGGGGGCGGGCGCCTAATATGGTAAATTCAGGTGAGAAAGGGTGGTGGCCTGGGTGAAGATGATAGGGATGGAGAGAAGGGAGTAGATCAAACCTATTTAGAAGGTATAATCACATAATCTCATTGACTCTCCGAGTAACCTTGTGAAGAAAAGTTTGCCTCGACTGTACAAAAAGAAGAATGAAACCCAGAGAAGAGAAAAGAATCGATTGTAGTTACCAGAAGACAATAAGCAAAGCTACAGAGAGCTACAGGCTTTCTGGCTTCAGACCTGAAACTTTCCGTTACCACACTGCTGCCCTCAGAAGGCAGCTAGTGACTCTTCACACAGAATGATTTTTTAGAGTAGACTACGTATTCAGCAAATGTAAGATGCTTTTACATTTAACTGAATTGTATTTTAAATAAACTACCAAAGGGTGG